TATGTTGGCGCTTTTTATTCAGTTGCGCCAAATTAGTTCACTTGGCGAACTTCTTAATATGTGCAACCTATTTTATTTCCATTTTTATTGCATGAAAGGGAAAAAAAGTCAAAATCGTTCTTTTTTTTTTTCAAATAATGTTCTTTATATTAATTTTTAATTATAACTGTTGTTATTTAAGTATTTTTTTCTTTTTGAATTTCATTTTAATTGTTTAAGTTGCATGGTTTCTTTCAATAATGTTTTAAAAATTTCTATTACTCTTCGAACTGCGTATTAAATAAAAGGTGCATCATTTATTTATTTTTTTTTTTTCAAATAGTTTTCTTTATACTATATTTTTTAGTCATAGTTATTATTTTAGGCAATTTTTAAAGTTTTAGACTTTTATTTTAATTGTTTGTGTTGCATTGTCTCTTTAGAGAATTGTTAACTCCTCATCTGATAATTAACTCCTCATCTGATATTTTATATTTTAAGTTCTTGTGTGTGTGCCTGTAGGAAGATGAAAACTGATTTCTATGGAATTGTTAAATCTTCTATGCAATACTTCATCGAGTTCGAATTCTCGGACAATTAGAATTACAACAGTGTTCAGGTTTCCTGCCTAGTACTGCTTCATGTGACCAAACTGATCAGTTTTTTTAATAATTGTTTCTAAATAAATTATCATTTGCCAGACATAGTTGTGTTTCTAATTGGTGCAGCCATAAAATAATAAGTACAGTCATTATTTTATTTGCAAGGCTAAGAATGGTTAATCTACATCATGACTCAAAGATGGTTATTGTTCTACAGCATAATATATTTCTTACTATTATTTAAGTAGGTAAATTTGTTAATTAGACACACAGAATTCTTCTTCACCATGTATTAACTATGCTGCCTTATCTTACCCTCCCTTGCAGTAAACCTCACACTAATATAATTTTTTCATAAATTATCTTTTGATACTGTATTTTTCTAAATTTTATAACAGTTGCCATAAACTGAGAAGTTTGCCAAGTGAATTATTCTTGGCACAAAGTAAAAGAAAAGTTTGTATGTTAAATTTTTAAATTACTCCTTAAATTTCTCATCAAAATTAATGAAATTCGGTATTTACACATAATTTCAGTCACAGAATCTAAATATTGCAAAAAAAGGGGGGGATCATTTCAGGAAAATTCTGATTTTGCATCAAAATATATATGAACACCTCTAAATATAAATCTAATACAGTTAAAAGTCGTTAATCCGGACTCGTCAGGACTTTGGCGAATCCGGCTTATCAATTTTTCAGGATTATAGATCATCAGTTTAAATCTGGTAAGATGGCATGCAGAAATTATAAAATTAAAAATATGAAACTGCAATTTATGAAATAAAGAACAATTATGATCTAAAGGGTATCAAATTTACAAAAAAAAAAAAGCTTATATATTTATTTGTTCACTTTATTAAACATTTCCTTTCATGTAAGTTGTTTAAGTTGCTTCGTTTTTATGTGATAATACTTCTCTTTAATTCTATAACAGACATAATTTCTTGTTCAGTTACAAAGTTCCGCTGTTCAAGTCCTATAATTTCTGTGTTGAGAATACCGACTAATTTGTCAATCGAATTTTTTCGTTTTCAATAACCTCTGTCACTTTCTTTGCTATCGGAAGCGAATTATAATGACGAGGATTTGATTTAAATCATATCAAAGACGGAGTACATCGAGATGAACACATTTAGTAAGGAATTCTAGCCAAATAAAATAAAACATCTACCTGAAGATAAGGATAAGTGCTTACAGATCAACTTCCAATTCCTGCGTGCGCGCCGCGGCGTTAAAGATCACAAACGTTAAGTTTGATAAACAAAGGATATCCTTTTATACCATTTTTTGCAGCAATTCCACTTTTTGTTTAACTTCGAAACATACTTTCGCTTTGTAGATCCTTACATATAGTAATATATATCAGAAATTCTATTTGACATAATCGAAAGTTCCAAGCTTACTTTATAAAATTGCTCTAACAGTCTGCAAAAATAATAAGCCGATCCAATTCAAAGATAGGAACAACGCAATCTGCAACATTAACTGAAATAGATAATTTTAGCTTAGCTTATACGTCCGTTATACATTAAACGCGCACCTTAAACGTATTTTGTGCACATGCATATTCGCAGCCATAAAGGTCTTACACGCATGTGTCGCGCATAAAGTTTGTAGCTTTGAGGTCCGGATTATAGATCATTCCGGATTATGGGTGTCCGAATTAACGACTTTTGACTGTATATATACTTAGACATGAAAAACACATGAAAGACATTGGGGGGGGGGTTGAACACACGCGTTTTGCTCGTTCAGAGGCGAATAGTTCTAAGGGGCGGCAATTTTTGACAGAGTTATAGGTTGGAAACATTCCTCTTTGCGTGGGAAAGTAAGGGACTGTCATCTTGTTGCGAGTTCTGAATTTTCTTGGAAATTCCGTAATGGTTTATCACCTGGCTGTAGTTGGCTAGAGGAGGTCCAAGTTTCTTTAAGGTTAAATTTTTTATTTTAGTCTGGTTTGTGCCAATAGTGAATTAGGGGCGTTTCTTTGTGAGTGTCAACCGAGTTTTCTTAAGCTATTGCACGAGAGGCAGGAGCAGATTTTTGGACTGAAAAATAGAGATTTTAGGAGGGAAAAAAAAGGTGAAATATGGCAACTCTTCGGGGTTCGACCATGAGTTGCAGTTAAGGGATATTACTGCGTCCCCTTGGTTGTTGCTGCGGAGGCCTATCCGAACCTGTGCGGACTCTCATCATGTAGACAGTGGCGAAGTGTTTTTCCTGTCTTGCGGCACAATGGTATTGGTTTCATCATGGTGGGTTTTTTTTTTTTTTTTTTTAAGTAGTAAGAGACAGATTTTCTGATGGAATGGAATATGGAGTAAGGGTGCGTCTTCTTTTCCCGTTAATCCCGAATTGCTCGCACCAAAGATACAGATTTTGTGACGATAATATTGAATAAAGGGAGTGGCTTCCTTTTCAAGTATTTTTCCCAAGGTTTCATGCTGAAGATCCAGATTATTCGTGAGATTATTGACTGTCGTCATTTCCTCTTGTCTGTTTGTCTGTTTTTATCCACAGCATCAGCACGAACATTTCACAGGATGATTTTAGAGTTAAAATGCTATCGGGCAGAACAGAGTTGGAACCATTTGAACTATTTTGAAATGGAGAAAATTTCCCGTTGTGCTTCCTGTTGAACTGACTACAGTATTGGTTTCCTGACAACGAAGAAGTTTTGGTTGCAATTGTTTCGACGTTTTATGACTGGATAGCTGCTCCTCGAGTCGCTCAGACTTGTGTTACGCTGAACTCATTAGTGTACATTTTTATTTTTATTTTTGCTTTTCTTTTATAAGCATATCGTTAGGATTTTGGAAGAATTAAATTGTAATGCCTTAGCTCACCTTTTATATAGATTAAAATTAGGATTCTACTGCTAATCAATTAATTAATAGTTGGGAATTTATGAAATTCGGTATTTACACATAATTTCAGTCACAGAATCTAAATATTGCAAAAAAAAGGGGGGTTATCAATTCAAGAAAATTCTGATTTTGCATCAAAATATATATGAATGCCTCTAAATGTAAATCTAATATATATACTTAGCCATAAAAAACACAAATTGAAATTTGCATATTCAAAAAGCAGAACAGGAAATATAGAACTGCCCCCCCCCTTATTTTTTTAACTCAGTGTAAATAACAGTTGAGAACAGATACAGTTGAGAATTAGTGTTGTTATGGAGGATGCTTTTAGATTTTGTGTGTATACTTATATTGTTATTTACTGTGCATAGGCATTTTTTGTTATTAATTATTTTACTGTTTAATGAATTTGTATTGTTATTATTTAAGATTAATGTATATATTTAGTATTGTTTAAACTTACTCATTACAGCAAAACTCTTTAGTTAGCTGAAAGTGGTGTCAAAAAAGGGCGATGATAATAATAGTTAATGTATAGTTATGTTTTTATAGTTTAATTGTCACAGTTTAAAATCGAGTACATATTTAACGAATTAATAGAGGTGTTTCACTATGATTTTTGTATTAATGAAATAATTTTAAAATGAGATTGAATTAAAAAAAAAAAACTGTGAGTAACTTTTAAAAAGATTTTGTAGGGTACCTGCCAGCTATCTCAATTAATGTGTGGAATATTCATAATGTGCTATGATTTTTTATTAGTGAATGTTCTTTTGCCAAGCCATCTAAATATATATTTTATTATTTAATAAATGTGTTTATTATTTTATTATTGTATTTTCTTTGAGTTAATTGTGGTCTACTGTATGTGTTCCTTACAGAAACATGGTTATTTTATCGAACCTGGGTACCATATTACGGTAGTAGAAAAAAAAATCTGTTTTAAGTTGTTGGTGACTATACGCATAATTAGTTTATTTTGAGTTTGTGTTTAGACTTGTTAAGTGTGATATGTATCTTTCCCTGGTGTTTTGAAGAGATCTGAGTGGTATTTCAAATGTTAAAAATTTTAAGGCTATCTCTAGATTTTGTATTGAAATTTATGTGTTTTCAAGTTGGAGATCTGAATTAGTTTTATTTTAGTGAGAGATAGCAAATTGATGATTTTGTTGCGGAAGTGCATTTTTCTCATTTTGTTTTTTGTAAATAATCGTTATTTTACCAAAACACCAGGGAGAATATTTTCTTTGATTTCTCTTTGATTCTAAAGTTTATGATTTTGATTATGTAAGTACTAAGTACTTAGTTTTAGTTTGAGTTTTTTTTTTTTTTTTTTTTTTTTTTTTTTTGTCATGGCACCAAGAAGTCAGTTAAGTCAGTTTAAAGAGTTAATTGTAAAGGTAATTTTTTCCCTTTTTCTACGTAACAGTGTAATGTATACACTAATTCTCAACTGTTTCACTATTTCATATCAACATCAGCCAACAAGAGATTGAAAAATTACTTATATTAAAAACATTTACAAAAGACTATTAATTTGTGCTGACCATAATTTTTCTTTTTTTTCAGTGCTTCTGTTTCATCCAGAGATTTAGGCTTCATCAAGGTTGGTATTTGTGGTTCTCTGGAAGGTGAATCCGTTTCAGTCACAGGTTTAGGCTTTTTCCAAGCTGGTACCTGTTCTCTTTGATAAGATGAATATGTTTCATTCGCAGACTTAGGCTTCTTCCAAACTGGTTGATGTGGTTCTCTACCAGAGGAATACTTTATTTCTTTCTTTTCTGCATTTCCATCTGCATAATTTTATGAACACATGTATAAATACATTTAAAAATAAAATATTACAGCATTAAAAACACATATCTATCAACTCTTACCATGTCTTTTCCGTTCTTTACTGGCTTCATTTCCATAGCCTGGTTTCTTCCAGGCTGGTCTGTCAGATGAGATAATTCTCTCTTCTTGAAAACGTTCTTCTGAATTCCTGTTAAAAGAATTATGTGATGAATATTTTGTTCTTTCTACACTATCTGATCTGACTTTATCAGTTTTAGATGATCTGGAACTGCTGAAATAGTTAGATTTGTGCCGTGATTTTGAATCATGTTTTGGTTTCTGATATTTCATTGATCTCTCGGGACTTGAACTCTGGTTAGACTTATCATCAGACGGAGCTCTGAACTTCACATTTCTCGTATCTTTGTTTCCGTCTTCATGTCTTCTTTCATAACTATCACTATACTTAGAGGAATTGCTTTTCAATCGACTTTCAGCTTCTTTTATCATTGATAGAAGTTTATCCAATGACTACATAAATAAACAATTAATTAATTTAAAGAATTCTATAAAGTTCATACTGAAACCACAATAGACAAGATAATAAGAGCTAAGAATTCAAGGTGGGAAGCAGAACAGCATATAACTTTATTACACATGAATAGATAAAGAAAAACAAAAATCACATAAAAAATAATCTTGCACATATGCTACAAGATGTATATACAGTGGCTCCCAAAAGTGTTTGTACACTTATGATTTTCATTGAAATAGGGATTATTAATTAAAAGTAATCTACAGTAATTAACAATCCATTAATTAAAAGTAAACTTTCTGAATGAGATTTTAATAATAAGATCTATAATCTATTCATAACAAATTTACATGAAATATTTTTAAAATCTAGCGAAACTTTATTTTTAAAGAAATTAATAATCAAAAAATGACAAACATTTTGTTTATCTAACAAACGTCTTCGTACACTTCAAAAATCTTGACATATTAGTAAATATTTTGATTTTTAGTTAAATTAATATTTAGTAGGATATCCTTTTAACATCCACAACAGCTTTTGAAACATCTGGGAATAAATTTTAGTTTTACTAGTTTTTTTTTTTTTTTTGTTTTTTTTTTTTTGTTTTTTGTTTTTTTTTTCTAATTTCTGTATCAATGTTCATGCATTGTTTCATCATGACTGGTTTGAGTTCGCTTTTCGTTTTGATGTCGTGGTTTCGTACTTTAACCTCCAGTTCTTTCCAAATGAGTTCTATGGGATTTAAATCTGCCGACTGAGGTGGATGTTTTCAAAACCTGTGGACAATTATAGAGACACCACAGCGTTGAGAACCATACGCTTAGGATTGTTATCATGATTAAAAATAAAGTTGTTTCCAATAGCCAAATTTTGGGCTGATAATTTTAAATTGTCTCTTAAAATATTTAAATACAGAAAATGATTCATTATGCCATTAATAAATACCAAATTACCTAGTCCTGGTGCTGCCGTGCACTCCCTAACAAGAATACCTCCACTGCTATGCTTAACTGTTCCAATTAAGTTCTTAAAATGAAGTTCCTCATTTTTTCTCATCCATAGTTATTCGACCATCGGAACCAAAAATGTTAAATTTGCTTTCATCAGCAAATAGGACATTATTCCATTGTACGTTTTGGGTGTATTTATCATTGATTTTGCAAATGAAAGCCTAAGCTTTCTGTTTTTCTCACTAACAAAACTGTTTTTACGTGCAGAAAGCCCATGTAATCCAGCTTCTCTGAGAACTTGTTGAACCGTTTCAGGTGAAATTGAAGTAGAAAACTTTGCACTAAATTCTTCAGAAACTTTTACAGCAGTCAAACGTGGGTTTTTCACAAATTTTCTAATAATAAATCTCTCATCACGTTTAGTTAACTTTCTCGGTCAATCATTTCTTACCTTGTTTTCAATCCAAATTTCTTTAAAGAGTTTATCACATACTGCTCTGTAAAATGGGATAAATTAGGTCAATCATTTCTTACCTTGTTTTCAATCCAAATTTCTTCTTTAAAGAGTTTATCACATACTGCTCTGTAGAATGGGATAAATTAACTAATTCAGCGATATTTTGAATTGATTTACTACTACTATGGTGGAAAATTATCAATTTTCGAAGGCTGTTTGTAATTTCTTTATGACTGCGACCCATTTTTCAATAATAAATGGAATATTATGAAGTAAACAATAAAAAATTACAGCAAACGATTTTTTTAAATGCCACCACAATGCAAAAATTAAAAAAAGTGGCAAAAGATCATTCTAATTTTGATTTTATCCAAAAATATTTCAACGTACGAAGACTTTTGTGAGATAAAATGTTTGTCATTTCTTGATTATTAATTTCTTAAAAATAAAGTTTCGCTATATTTTTTAAATATTTCACGTAATTTTGTTACGAATAGATTATAGATCTTATTATTAAAATCTCATTCAGAAAGTTTACTTTTAATTATTGGACAGGAGCCCTATTTCAATGAAAATCATAAGTGTAGGAACACTTTTGGGAGCCACTGCATACAACACACCAACTGAATACAATTATTATTTTTAAATAAAATACAAGTATACAGTAATAACAGTTTCTCAAAATTATGCATGTTTATCCATCAAGATAGTCTTAGTTCTGATTTTTTTATATAACAAGGTACATAAAAAAACTGCTGGAGATCTCAGTTCAGCAAACTCTCAGTTTATATGTCCAAGCTTTAATTATTAATTATCACACTGGACTTTGATAATTTATGCCCTTGTTCCACTGAGCCCCCTATATTCCCTTAAAAGCAAGAGCTATTCTCTAACCTTGCTCCTATAAAAATATAAGTACAGAAATTTCCCTTTTTTTTTTATTTAAATGCATAACTGTGTACCTATTGATATGTGCTTTACAACAACCCTTACAAGAAATTTATATTTATATAATGAAATATTAGTTGAAGTCTCCAGATATCTGCTTTAAAATATTATTCAATTGATTATAAATTGTAACAAATTAGAAAGCAATAAGAGACTAAAAATCTGCACAGCTTTGAAGAGGTTGCATAGATTTATAATTTTGCAGGTTTCAGGTCAAAACAATTAAAACTTATTATATTAAGGCTAAAAATAAATAATTCAGCAAAGTAGTATATAAAAGCAATTAATTTCATTGATTACTTTTATAATAAATATATCATAATGCCGTTGAACTTTCAGGATGGAAGACATTAAGAACAGATTTTACCTTAGGTTTTAAAACTTAATATGCGAAGTTCCAGGTTATAATAAGGCCTGAATGAATAAATAAAAATAACATATTCACATTATTTTTACAGAAGGTAAAGATAAAGCTTCCAGTACTGCAAGATGTGCCTCACTTCAATGGCCTCTTTCGTTCTTCTTTTGTTGCAAAATGAGAAAATGGATACAGTCACATTTAAATAGGATATAGAAGGCATATAACTTTGTTTCAGTCCTCATATTTAAAAACTAGAATTTTACCAACTATTTGAAACCTTAATTTTTATTTTTTATACATTGAAAATAAATTACGAAATGCAAAATTTCTGCTTCATACACAATAGGCAAATTAAATAAAGTACACCTTGCACCAAAAAAAAAAAAAAATGTATACTGAAAAAAAAAAAAAAAAACTATATCTTCCATTTTACATTGCCGATTGACGAAATTTAACTTGCGTTTTCCATGTCTCAAAAGCATTACTTGGGATGCATATTAGACTTATATACAGCATTGTTCTAACGTAGATATTTTAATACAAAATCGAACTTTTTCTGAAATAACATACCAATTTTCGTTAACATTTCAATTCCATGACTAAAATTATACTTAGATATTAAATTCTGTAATTTTTGGTAGGATTTACGCAGAAATTAAAAAACTTGGTACATTTTTTTTTTCAGTTTGCACCAAGAATAATTCACTTGGCAAACTTCTTAATTTACAACAACGTATTTTCCTTTCCTTTTTTGCATTGAACACGAGCAGAAAAAAATGGTCATCGTTTATACTTTCAAATAATTTTCACAAAGTGTGTAAAACACATTTGGAGTTACTGTCACTTATATGTCAAATTTCAAAACACACCAATATGTAAATTCAAATTTTATATTTTAGAGATTATAATTCAATTAAATTTTATATTATAAAAATTTTATAGGTTATAATTCAAAATTTTTTCAAAAATTTATAAAAAAAATTTTTAAATATAAATTTTAAGAATAAATCATAAAAAATGGGCAAATTTTATTTGAACCTAAATTTTGAAATGTGAAAGAAAGAATCAAATCAGTTTAATAAAAATATATTAATAAGTATATAACACATTCAATTAACATGGAAGAGCTAAAATTTTGAGAGCTAATTTTTCAAAAACTACTTAGCAATTTTTACAAAGCTTTAGCATAATTTGAGTCACAGAATTGAAATACAGGAAAAAAATTGGTGTTATTTCAGAAAAAGTGCAATTTCCTGTCAATATACCTATGTTAGAACAATGCTATATATAAATCTAATATATATCCTAAGTACTGCATTCGAGACATGGAAAATGCAAGTTAAATTTCAACAATCGGTCAAGAATGGGTGATATAAAACTATCCCAATTTTTTGTTCAAATTATACATGAAAAATAGCAAAAGACTTATTATCTAATTAATATTAATACAAACTTAACTTCCTTTTCACAAATCATGCATTATTCAGTAAATGTGCACACTTACACCCCATCTTTCAACTGCAATTTCTTCCATGGATCGGCCTTCTTCCTGGGCTCGTTCTTTAATTCGTAAATATGCCTTTTTCAACCAACTATAACCTCCATCTCCTACTGATGTAGAAGGCAGGGATGAATTTGAAGCATTTGTTTCTTCTTCTGGAAGACCTTTTCCATTATTTTTCCAATATGGATTTAGTTCCCGCTGATCTTGAATTTTCTGAAAAAAAAATAATATATATATAAAGAAATAAAATAATGCAATATAAAAGGAATAAAATATGCAAATTACAAAGCATATATCTTATATTACTAAAAGCTATAAAAAATTACCCATTTGTAACCTACCAATAAGCCTACATTTTATGAGGTAGCACACTGACTCTGATAAATGCACACCAAAATTAGTTTCAGTACTTTCTCATTATTTGCATCTTCATTGAAAAATCGTGAAATATTATTCATAAGGCAAAGTAGTATGTTGCCAAAATAGTTACATGGAAAGCCAGAATGTCACCAAAAAATATTTTATGTTGCAACCCAAGTATATATCCATAAAAGCATGTTGCAACCCAGGTATATATACGCAGCACATATCTGTTTTGGTCATTATGCAATGATGGATGATGCCATCACTGTGTGCATCGCATCCTATAACTTTTAAATTGTTTAACTGTTTGTGTTGCACACAGAGAGAACAGCACAAAAAAAAAAAAAAAAAAAAAAAAAAAAAAGATGCACATAGCATGTGTCTATTTTGGCTGGTGGACAGTGGCCAAGTTATAAGATGCTGGGTTTGTGCAATTCTCTGATGTTCTTTGTGAAAACAGATCGCTGCATAAAAGGGGGAGAAACAACAGCACAAAAAAGTTTCAGAGAGAAAGCAAATTTCACCCAAATAATAAACAATTCATTGTTGCTGAAGATTTAAATGCCAAAAATGTGGAATGGAGCTGCAGACACACTAACAGGAATGGAAAGATTCTTTATGACTTCAAAATGCAGCACCCTGTTGCAATTAATGTTCCTGCCGAATATATATACAGGCCCAGTAATCTTCAGAGGGCAGATATTTTGGATATAATACTTACCAACACGTCTATCTTAATAATGCTAGAGGTCAAACATGAGCTGTCCTCAGATCATATTCCCATCTTAGTTATCCTGGGCACCTCCAAAATTATTGATAATAAGAAGTTAAAATCACAAATTGGAATCTTTTTCATAATTCACTCCAAGAAAATCCTTTGGTTATTGGTAGTTTAAATTCAAGAAATGACATAGATAATGCTATTGAAGAACTTACTAAAGGGATAAATAATGCTATTGACTGCACTTCAAGATATATCGATGAGGAGCAATATGCAGGTAAATTGCTATAGTATTCATGGAACTTCAGAAACCCAGCAGCAACAGACCAATCTTCACTGATAACAGCATTCCCATCACAAATAAAGACAAAGCTTAGGTCTTTGCAGATCACTTAGAGCAGCAATTTATGCCCAACAGAATTCCAAGAAACATTAGCTTTGTATACGATGTGTGCTACAGTATCAGAGATTGGCTTAACACACCGACAATAAGGAATTTGCCGAACTTTGCCACCCCTGTAGAGGTAAAGGTACAGATTAAAGGGTTAACAGATTAAAGGCCAAAAAGGCTCCAGGTCATGATGCCATAAACAATGTAGCAATTAAGAAACTTCCTACAAATGTTATTACGAAATACACCAGCATCATCAATGCATGCCTAAACAACAGCTATTTCCCAAAAAATTGGAAGCAGTGCAAAAAGTGATATTACTCTCAAAGCCAGGCAAAGATGTAAACAGACCTGAGGGGTACAGACATATTAGTCTACTCTCAGGTCTTGGTAAAATTTATGAAAGAATTATTAATATTATTAAATTATTAAATAGAATCAAGCCATTCCTGAATGAATTCATTCCTGAACAGTTTGGCTTTAGAAGCAAAGTATCCACAATGAAGCAATTAGTTAGATTACTTGAATTCTGTAGTGAAGCACTGCATAATCCTCAAAATGTTTCCATCCTCATGCTGGACGTGGCGAAAGCTTTCGAGCACATCTGGCATGAGGGGCTTGAATGCTGGGGTCCCTCATTTTGTACTGTCATATGTAGCTGATTTCCCTAGAGTAGAACTAGACAGAAACCACATTTAGGAACTAGACAGAAACCACTGTTGTGCAGATAATACAGCATTAGCTGTAAAGTCTGCAAATGCCAATCATGCAAAGCTACAGAATTTTACCCCAAGCATTGGAGAATGGTTCACATACTAGTGTATATCTATTAATGCTATGAAATCCCAATCATTGATCATAAGGAGGAAACATAATCCAGTCACAACTCAAAAGGAATCTCACTCTATTAGGTGAAAAAGATAAATACTTGGAAGTTACTCTTAATGAAAAGCTTACATAGAGAGATGTTGTCATGAATGTTAGAAATAAGGCCTTCTGTGTCATTAATAGTTTAAAACCATTATTAAACAAATACTCAAGCTTAGACATTCTAAGGAAAAGGCTTATGTATGCTATAAATATGCGCCCCATTATCACATATGTGTCTCCAGCATGGAATTCTATTAAGAAAAGGGATCTACACAGATTGCAGGTCATATAAAATCGGGTTTTATGCGACTTAAAACTAGAAGTTTTGGAGAAACATATTCATAAAATTAATAGAAACTTCTTCCTAAAAGCAATTAACTGCTTACACTTGAATAATCTCAACATTTTGAACTATATAATTCTTGATGGGGATATAGATATTAGAACATTAACGGCTCACCTCACATGTGACTCCGATTTTCCTACCTAAATTTTTACTTTTCTTATCTCATATTGTATACAGATTTGTTATATTGTATGTATATTTGTTAGTTTATATTGTATTCTCATGACGTATTGAATAAATACATTTTCTGATTTTGCATTTCATCATTCTTAGGACATATGCAAACACTTGCATCTCGCTTGCCAAAGTCACCACCTATTTTCAAAATAGTAGTGTATTTAAAATTCCATACAAGAGCAATCAATCAACAAAAATGCAAGAAACCCCGGTAATAAAACACTTACCTATTTTGAGAAATCCTTTTTTTAAGAATGACTGATTGACCTTATTACAGCCAGATTACTGCTCAAGCGCGGTGTTTCCAGCTCATTCAAGTAATTAGTGATCGCCTTTTCTTAACCGAGTGATGTTCGGCCTCTTTTTACCTACCTCCTCTTTCCCATTGGGATTCCACATCCTGATAGCTTATGTGATGTGCCTAAATGGCCTGAATGGCACATCACATAATACTAATTACTTGAATGAGCTGGAAACACTGCACTTGAGCGGTAATCTGGCTATAATAAGGTTCATCAGTCATTCCTAAAAAAAGGATTTCTCAAAACAGGTAAGTGTTCTATTACCGAGGTTTCTTGCTTTTTTTGTTGATTGATTGCTCTTGTATGGAATTTTAAATACACTACTATTTTGAAAATAGGTGCTAACTTTGGTACATTAGTTTCATGAAAAAGTAGTCAACAAAAAGTCTGCAATTTTTTGGTAGGTGCGCAGATAACCAAAAAGTACCAGAATTTCAAAGACAGAATGACAATATATACTTATTAAAGACATTCTTTTAATTAGTAATATTCTTTCTTTTTTACAAAGATTTTAAAAAATATAAAAGGAAAAAAATTTAAAGAATCATAAATGCATTTAAGACCTTTTCTTGTGCTCTTTTCTCATCATCTATTTCCTTTTTTCTCATTCGAGAACTTCCACTCTTCATATCTTCCTTGCTCACTGTAGATACAAAATCCTCCTCATTCATCCAATCCTCTCTCTAAAATATTATTTGCAACTAATAATACAAAGTATTACACAAAATACAAATGCAATTCAAATATAAAAAATAAAGTAAAAAATTTAAATATAAATATATCATATAAAACCAAATATTCAATTTATTATTTAAAGTATGGAGAACTTTTGCTTCAGAAAAAGAAACATTGATAAAAAATGTTAAGTAAAATTGTTCACATGTAAAACTGTTATATAGACATGGCAAATTATAAATGCTTTTTGGTAAGAAACCTACACACTTCCAAATACATTTTGACTAAAGTTTTCTTTAATGAAATTTATACAACAACTTACCGGCAAAACTGGTAAAAAAAAAGCGAGCAGGATTAACAAAATTAGGAGGAAATACTATGCTACTTTCTGATTATCTTCCCCTCACAAAAACAAAGTTTTGACTTCATTAACAACTTTGTGAATTAGTAAAAAAAAAATATTTGTTTGGGTAACTTCAAGGCTTATAAGGATTGTTCTGTTTATAAATAATATAAAGTTTTTTATAAGAAACAGATTTTATGAGGACGGGAAAATCTACATAGCCAATATTTACATTTTTACAACTGATGAACACTGCTCAGCAAAATGAGTTAAATATAAAGCATCTAAATCCATGTGTACTCAAACAGGTGTCAGGCATGCACATACATGTATTGATTATTGTCACATATATACTCAAAAATAGGACTCAATTGTTTTACCAAATTTAGAAACCAGGAGCTGCAGATAATCAGAGAATACTAATATTATCAGTTTAAAAAAAAATTAATTTTAAACAAATTAAGTACCATACTTTATCTTTAACTGTAGCTAGAGCTACTTCTGTACTTGGGGCTTCGGCTTCAACCCATTCCATTTCATAATTATCTGAACCCTTTAAAAGAACAAAAACCCTTTAAAATTCAAATAGTAAAATATGTCATGAAAATACAGAAGAATGCTTAGTACAAAGTTTCCCTAACATAAATTTTAAAATATTTACTTACACTTTCATCAGAACTGGTTTTAGAACGCTTTTGCTTCTTATGCTTTTTTTTCTTCTTCTACATCACAAAAAAGAAAAAAAAAAAAAGAAAAAAAAAGTTCTAACTTAATAAACATCACAGTTACTGATTAAATACTAAAAATTAAATTTTAAGTAAAACGTCAAAAGGTAAAGCATGGTTGGCATTTGACGGTGTCAACAATCTTTATAACAATAACATTTATTAGATATCAAGGATTCTTTTCTGTTACTCAAAACAAAGAAAATAAACTTACATCTTCTTAAAGAATTAACAAAATTTACTTTTTAAAAGGGAAAAAAAAAGCTAAAACAATATTTTAAAATTTTACTAAAAAAATATATTGTAATCTGAAAAACAAGAACATAAATATATTTGCTTCCTTTTTGCACTACTACATTATAAAAAAACTGTTCTAAAATACTTTTATGTTGAAGTTCTAAACACTTTTAAATTAAGGCTTAAAATTTAAGTATACTTTCTAATTAACTTCAGTTTTCTCTACACACAATCATTATTAAAGTTTAAAAAAAATAATGAGCTTTTATTTATGCAATGAAAAAAAAAAAAAAAAAAACTTTATTCATCATCTAAGTATGAGTACTTCAGAATTAAAGCAGTCTCCTCAGTAAATTGCCAAAATCAGAAAATAAGTCACCAGAATTGGTAAACTAATGGTGCTAACAGTAAGCTTCTCATAACAATAATGTATCATAATATTGAGTCATCAAGAGTGTTCTGCAGTTTTTCAAATTGGCTTATTTACTAAATGCATTTTGTTATTGCTAATTATTTTGTTATTGCTGACAATAAGTGACCATGATAAAAGAAGTTGCATAAATATTGTCTGTTCTGATCATGCATAATTCTAGCATACATTGTGGCACTTTCCCCCCCCCCCCATCCAATGGGCCAATTTGCGCAGGAGTACTATTAATTTCGTTTTGGCATTTTGTGCTGATCTACTGTAAACGTTGATTCACTTTTTAAATTGTAGCCACCAAATATTAGAGCCCTGTATTATATTTAAAGAAATTAAATAATGAAGAATCTGCATAAATGTATGTATTTTCTCGCATTGTAATAAAACAACGGTACCTACAGCCATCAAATTTTGAATAATGTATGTTTCCACCCGATTATGGGCATCTGGAAGACCAAATTTGGAATCTCTTTTATTATCTATTTCATATTTTGTAACACTTTAATGAATTTTTTTCTTAGTAAACTCAACGATTTCAAAGTGAGTAATGGCAACACTGTATAGGAAAAAAAAAAAAACATTTTTATCTCCAGTGCATGAGACCGCATATAGGAAATTCTAAAGACATGTTCATTTTAAAATTATTTTGTGATATCGCTGTTGAACTGAATTTTAAGGTTTAAGTGCAAAGAACATGATATTTAATAAATAAAGGTAACACACAAAACATTTAAAAAATGCACCTTTGGGCGCAATGTAAAATCTGAAAGCTTTCAGGTTTTTTTTATTTATTTAAAAAGGGCTAAGAATAGAGAATCCAAAAGTTAATTTTCATCCTATTAAGACAAAAAATTGTGAGATCACTCATAAACTTCGTGCTTTACAGGACAAAATTCTATTTCTGATTATACATTTCAAAAGCGATTCGAGAAGATTCAAGTGTAGAAATTTGAATCTTGATGATGAAGCCCACTCTGAACAAACATCTTCTGTAAATAAGGATTTATTAAAAGAAGTTATCACTGAAAATCCATGTTATACAGTTTAGGAGCTATCAGAGAGACTAAATATTCCAAAAAGTGTAGTACAGTCAAAAGTCGTTAATACGGACTCGTTGGGACTTCGGCGATTAAGTATTATAGATCATCAGTTTAAATCTGGTAAGATGGCATGCAGAAATAAAATTAAAAATATGAAACCATAATTTATGAAATAAAGAACAATTATGATCTCTTTAATTCTATAAACAGACATAATTTCTTGTTCAGTTACAAAGTTCCGCTGTCCAAGCGCTATAATTGCTGTGTCGAGAATACCGACTAATTTGTCAATCGAAATTTTTTCATTTTCAATAACCTCTGTTACTTTCTTCGCTATCGGAAGCGAATTATAATGACGAGGAATTTGATTTAAATCATATCAGATGGAGTACATCGAGATGAAATACTACATTTAGTAAGGAATTATAAGCCAAATAAAATAAAAACATCTGCCCTTAAGATAAGGATAGTGCTGCAATGAACTTCCAATTCATTGCACGCTGCGGCGTCCCCCCCCCCGGCCACAGAGCAGCACGAATTTGATAAACAGATTTCGGAATGGTTAGATAAACAAAGGATTATGCCTTTATCTATTTTTGCAGCAATTCCACTTTTTATTTAATGGACTTTGAAACATACTTTCGCTTTGTAGATCCTTTACATATTAGTAAATATATATCGGAAATTCTATTTGACATAATCGAAAGTTCAAGCTTACTTTTATCAAATTGCTCTAACAGTCTGCAAAAAATAATAAGCCAGATCCAATTCAATCGAAGATTAAGGAACAACGCAATCTGCAATATTAACTGAAATAGATAATTAGATAATTTTAGCTTAGCTTATACCGACCGTTATACATTATACGCGCATGCGTAAACATATTATGCGCATGCGCACACGCATATTCGCAGATCTTACGCGCATGCTTCAACACGACGCATGCGCAGAAAGTTTGCAGCTTTGCGGTCCGGATTATAGGTGTCCAAATTAACAACTTTTGACTGTACATGATTGCTTGAAGAAGACTAGGTAACTAACCTGCTATGACATATTGGTATTCCATACTTTTATATAACAGAATACATTTGCCCGAGTTCTGGCATGTGATACTGTGCTGAAAAGGAATAAAGAAGTTCTTTTTTTTTTAAACAGCTCATTATTGCAAGTCGTAAGTGATACTATGCAATAATGTTACAAGAAAAAGATTATGAGGTAAGACAAAAGAAACTCCTTTAGTAAGTAACATTGAGAGGGAAGTGCAACCCCAAAAAAAGAACGATTTGTCTATGGTAAGACTATACTATGAACTGTTGCCACCAAAGTAGAAAATAAATTCTGAAAAATACCATTTCCAAATGGCACAGGGTTCATAGCCACATTTTAGTTAAAAAAATAAGCACCTATAAGCACTTTTCAAGCACATTTTAAGAAAAAAATTAAGCACCTGTCTAATTACATCATACACAACTGCATAACCTTAAAAATTAGACTTGTAATTTAAAATATGAGAAATGAAGTACTTATTAAGAGACAACAAGCATTACCTCAACCATAAAAAATAATTACTTTTTTTTTTTTTTTTTTTTTTTTTTAGTTTTAAATAATAGTTCAATTTACAGAACTTGTTTACAATGAGAGAAAAAAAAAAAAAAAAACAAAAAAAAAAAAAAAAAAAAAAAAAAAAAAAAAAAAAAAAAAAAAAAAAAAAAACTATGAAGAAACTAAACTATATTACAAGATTTAATGATGAAATTTTCAGTTTAAAATAGAGAAAATAATTAATAATAAGGTATATTTATTGTATTCGCTTGGAACCTAATAATAAATACAATTTATTTTTCCACTCATATTGATATTTAAATAATTTAAATCTAAATTTTCATTGTATATCAGTTTTCTCTTAACAGATATTGCAAGCAAAGTAATTTAAGTAAAAAAGAGGAACATTTCTGAAATCAGAAGACAGAAATTTGCTTCATGCAGTCATCTTTGACAGTAAAAGGTTTACTAACCCGCACACTTGGAAATTGGCGAATATTCGGACAGTCGAGCGTAACTTGAAGGAGCGGAGGGGGGGTAGACTGTAGTGCATCATATAAAAGTAAACCAACGAAAATATTAAAAAAAAAAAAAAAAAAATTCTGCTTAGCAAGCACAGTAAAACTCTTTTAAGTGTTCATAAACAAATCTCGGACTGAACATCAAAATTAATTATCTCTGGAAAATATCGCAAACGTTATTGCGCAATACGTGCGCCGTAATTCTTCCCTACGTGATATTATGCAATCGGAATCAACAACTGCCGGTATTGGGAGAATAAAGAACTAAATAACTGGGGTGTTTTTCATTCTAATTTTCAACAGATGGCATTAAATTTCCGGAATAGAATCATTCTTCGCTTGGGTTGGTAGACCGCAGAACTTTTAGTCCTATTCAATCCAAAGCTACCAAAAAAAAAAAAGGTCCGTTGCTTGTTTTGCAGCGAACTGTAACGGTTTCAATATTCAAGATTTTGCGAAGAAAGGCGAGACCTCCCAACCTTCGTACTGTATAATATATTGGTCAAAAAAAAAAAAAAAAAAAAAAGAAATTATTTTGACTATTCGATTACTTTCCCTTTATTTAAGCCATTCCAAATATTATTCCTTAGAAAGCTAATCTGTGTTAAAAGAGAACCATTTTTGGAAGTTTCCTATACTTCAGCAGTTACTGCAACTATGTTATTATAAACATTCATACATGCTCATAATATAAGCATAACGATCATAATAAACACGAATATGAACTGATCAAGCGGAACGAGAATGCAAATTTTTAAGATCTTGATAGAAATTCAAACGTGTATAGTATTTGGGTGGGAGGAAAAGAATGCCGAATGTAGCGGAATTTTCTACTGCTTTCGCAATTCTTTGACCAATAGAAAGAAGGACGGGCACCTGTCTACTCTTCGTGCACACCAAAGGTTATGTTAATGCAGAGAAAGGGGGAAAAGCTATTTCCGGGAGTATGACTCACCATCTGACATTACATTAGGAAGAAAAGTTGTTTATTTAGTTTCGGCTTTGGTACGGGGAAAATAGCGCATTCATTAAAAAAAAGCACTAAAAGCAAAAAATAAGCACTAAAAACAAAAAAATAAGGGCTTTAAAGAAAAAGTAAGCACCTATAAGGGCCTTTATATTTTATTTTCAAATATAAGGACTTATAAGCACTTATAAGGACCGCTACAAACCCTGTGGCAGCTTTAAAAGCAGAAATTAAAACAAACAGCCCAGAATTGACCAATCATTGTG